CGCTCCGGCCGCTGCGCTCGCCCCTTCCCGCTGCGTTTGCACAAACCTCCCTCTGCTGAGTTCGTCTAAGAATGACTCCGAGACAGTATTAACTTCCTACAAGTTCCGGTTGGTTTTAAGGCTTATCCGAGATCGAGTCTGTAGAACATTGTGGAGATGGGATTAAATGGTCCTTTTTTAAATTTATGGATTTCAGAGAGGAAGGGAGTGGGAGAGAGAGAGAGAGAGAGAAACATCAATGATGAGAGGGAATCAGGGATCGGCTGCCTCCTGCAGGCCCCACACTGGGGATCCAGCCCACAACCCAGGCATGTGCCCTGACCGGAATTGAACCCTGACCTCCTGGTTCATAGGTCCACACTCAACCACTGAGCCACGCTGGCCGGGCTTAAATTTTGTTTTTAATAACTTAAAATTTATAGAAAAATCGTAAGAATACTATAAAAACTCCTGTATACCTAAATATTGTAATTTAGCAATTACACTACTGACATTTAATCACATTTAATTTTCTTTTTCTATATACATACATAGTATTTTTTTCTGAGCTGTTTAAGAGTATTTGTAGCCCTAACCGGTTTGGCTCAGTGGATAGAGCATCAGCCTTCGGACTCAAGGGTCCCAGGTTCAATTCCGGTCAAGGGCATGTACCTTGGTTGCGGGCACATCCCCAGTGGGGGGTGTGCAGGAGGCAGCTGATCGATGTTTCTCTCTCATCGATGTTTCTGGCTCTCTATCTCTCTCCCTTCCTCTCTGTAAAAGATCAATAAAATATATTTTTAAAAAAAGAGTATTTGTAGACATCATGCCTCTTTACCATTAAAGACTTCAGTGTGTATTTCCTAAAAACAAGGATATTGGCTTACATAACCAGGAAATCAGAAATGAGAACATTGTTGCAATAATATCCTTTTCTTGTTGTTGTTAATCCTCACCCGAGGGTGTTTTTCCATTCATTTTTAGAGAGAGTGGAAGAGAGGGAAAGACAGAGAAAAAACGTCAATGTAAGAGAAACACATCGATTGGTTACCTCCTGTCTGAGCCCGACCAGGGCCCGGGCCAGGGAGGAGTTTGCAACCAAGGTACGTGCCCTTGAGTGGAATCGAACCCAGGCCCCTTTGGTCCGAAGGCCAACACTCTATCCATTGAGCAAACCAGCCAGGGCCCAATAATATTCTGTATATAAATTTGGTTTTGACCTGGCCAAGTAGCTCAGTTGGTTGAACTGTCCTCCCAATGCACCAAGGTTGCAGGGCACATACAGTAATGCAACCATTGAATGCATAAATAAATGAACAAATCTATGTCTTCCCTCCCTCCCTCCTCCCCTCCCTCCTTCCCTCCCTCTATTTCTATAAAAATCAATTGAGAAATTTGTTTTCTGGCCTGGCCGGTGTAGCTCAGTGGTTGAGCATTCACCTATGAACCAGGAAGCCACAGCTCGTTCCTGGTCAGGGGGTGGTGGCAGAATGCCCAGGAGAATGATAGCCAGCTCTGAGGGAGGAAAGTTTAACCTTTACTTTGCAGATCAGCTGGTCCAGGGGAATTCTGGATCCACAGCCTGAACTGAACTCGTGGGGAGGCTCTGATCTATATGTCTCCTCCTGTGGCGGCCCCTGAGGGTCCCCGCAGCTCCACCCATTTCAGCTGTGGCGGGCCCTGGGGTTAGGCTCTGCAGCTCCACCCATGTCAGTCAGAGTGGGGGAGTAAGACTACAGTTTTAACCAGATACTGAACTAGGGTGCACCCCCCACCCCCACCCCATTTTCCTTTTCAGGTGTGGCTCACTGGATAGAGCGTTGGCCTGCAGACCAAAGGGTCAGGTTCGATTCTGATCAAGGGCAGGTACCTCTGTTGCAGGCTCCTCCCCGGCCCTGGCGCTGGTCGACAAGCGTACAGGGGGCAACCAATGGATGTGTTTCTCTCACATCGATGTTTCTCTCTGTCTCTCCCTCTCTCTTCCACTCTCTCTAACATCAATGGGAAAATATCCTCCGGAGAGGATTAAAAAGATTTTTTTAAGTGAATGAGGTAACTGCTCTTTTCCCTCAGTTACCACACTGTCCTGCTCTTGTCTCTGTCCCCCAGGTTAAACGTCTGCTCCCTCCTTCTAGAGCAGTGATGGCGAACCTTTTGAGCTCGGCGTGTCAGCATTTTGAAAAACCCTAACTTAACTCTGGTGCTGTGTCACATATAGAAATTTTTTGATATTTGCAACCATAGTTAAACAAAGATATTTTTGATATTTATTTTATATATTTAAATGCCATTTAACAAAGAAAAATCAACCAAAAAAATGAGTTCGCGTGTCACCTCTAACACACGTGTCATAGGTTCGCCATCACTGTTCTAGAGCCACTCCAGCCTCTTCTCCATTCCCCCACTTCCAGGACTGGTCTCCTCCTGATGGCCCTCTGTCTCTCCCTAGTAAGAGCCTCCAATCGCTTCCCCTGTCCCTGCCAGCTGGCACCCGTGCCACCCACCCACAGGCCCTGTGGCCTCTCGGTCCCCTCATGGCGCACCAGCCAGGGCTGGGGGCTCGCTGCGGAGGGTGCACAGACCCACAGCTAGGTGTGGGTCTGAGGTCTCTGACTCCTGAGTTCCCTCCTCTGGCCCCTTCCTGTCTCCTCAGGAGCTGAGCTACGGGGCAGGGAGGGGCCTGGAAGCGCCGGGCAGCCTAGACCAGAATCTGTCGCCTCAGCCAAAGTGGGGGCCACAGACGGAAACACGTGCAGCAGAGGCAGCAGCCAACTTAATTAATTTATTTTTTAAACATATTTTTTATTTATTTATTTTTTATTTTTTTTTAAATATTTTTTTAATTGATTTTTTACAGAGAGGAAGGGAGAGGGATAGAGAGCTAGAAACATCAATGAGAGAGAAACATCCATCAGCTGCCTCCTGCACACCCCCTACTGAAGATGTGCCCGCAACCAAGGTACATGCCCTTGACCGGAATCGAACCTGGGACCCTTCAGTCCGCAGGCCGAGCTCTATCCACTGAGCCAAACCGGTTACGGCTAAACATATTTTTTATTAATTTCAGAGAGGAAGGGAGAGGGAGAGAGAGATAGAAACATCAATGATGAGAGAGAATCATTGATCGGCTGCCTCCTGCAGGTCCCCTCCTGGGGATCGAGCCCACAACCCAGGCATGTGCACCTGACCTGGAATCAAACCAGGACCTCCTGGTTCATAGGTCGATGCTCAACCACTGAGTGACACCGGCCGGGCTTTATTTTTTTAAAAAATATTTTTTATTGATTTTCAGAGAGAAAGGGAAAGGAAGAGAGAGAGAGAGAGAGAGAGAGAGAGAGAGAGAGAAAGACTGAGAGAGAGAGAGAGGTGAGAGCAAAATATGGATCAGCTGCCTCATGTACACCTCCTGTTGGGGATCAAGCCCATAACTTGGGCTTGTGCCCTGACCGGGACTTTGGGGCACAGGATGCCCAACCAACTGAGCCACTTTATTGTCGGAGCTCAGTGCACTGGGTGGGGGGCGGAATTGTTGTTGGAGGCAATTAAGGAAGTGAAAGGGGAGGAAACTCCTTTCTGACAGGAGCAGGGTGAGGAAGAGGACAGGGAGAGCTGGGAAAGGGAGGCCTGGAGACAAGGGGTGGAGCAAAGGGAGGAGGGCGAGGGGAGCTAAGGCACCACGGAGCCAGACCAGTGATGAGGACGGGGAACAGGCTGGCTTGTCAGGAGCAAAGGCCCAGCTCCGGACCGGAGAGCTGGCCAGTGCTGACCTACTGGCCGAGCCCCCTGTGCCCACTCGGCCTCCTCACTTCCGGGCGCCCAGTGCCAGGGCCACGATGAAGCCCACGACCAGCAGGAACATGGCGACGGACAGCAGCACCGTGATGACCACCATGCCCCCCGTGCGGGCCATCCCCAGCCCAATGGAGGCCCCCTTGCGTCCTGTGGGGGGAAGCCGGGAGGTCTGAGGGCGCTCAGCTTGCTGCCTCCTCCAGCCATTCCGCCAGGCGCCCTTTCATCTGCCTATTCATCCAGCATCCAACGGCCATCCAAGGGATCCAGACATCCACCCAGTAACCGTCTAGGGAGCAACTCCTGCGTCACTCAAGTCACTCACGGAGGCTACAGAAATCAATCGCACCCGGTCCCCCCACAGAGAACCTTCAGTTCAGCAGGAAGATGAGTCCACACAGTGAAAATGTCCAGGGCTGGCCCTGGCTGGGTGGCTCAATTGGTTAGAGCGCTGCCCCAATACGCCAAGGGTGCGGGTTTGGTCCCCAGTCAGGGCACATACAAGAAGCAACCAATGAGTGCATAAATCAGTGGAACAACAGATCAATGCCTCTCTCTCTCTCTCTCTCTCATCAATCAATTAAAAATAAATAAATAAAATAAAATGCCCAGGGCTCGGTGCTAGGATAGAGGGGGGCAAAGGCGCTATGGGAGCCCCAGGGGGGCTGGCGGTGCTGGGAAGGGCCAGGGGGGTCTGCAGCTGGAGCTGAGAGGGAGTGGGTTACTCACGCGGAAGGGTGGACATGGGGACCTCTCGGCTGGACTCAGTGGCTGTCCCCTTCTGCACCCGGTAGGAGACGCTTTTGGGGGTGGAGGGTTAGGAGAGAAAGGAGAGAGGATCCTCAGGGAGCGTCTGGGACTTGGGAGAAGAGGGACATCAGCCAGGTCTCCCCATTTGCCTCCACGGTGCCTCCTCTGGGAGAGGCCTGTTCTTTTTTATTCTTTAAATATATTTTTATTGATTTCAGAGAGGAAGGGAGAGGGAGAGAGAAACATCCATAAGAGAGAATCACTGATTGGCTGGAGAGGCCCGTTCATGAGCCTTTAGCTATGCCCTCTCTCCCCAAGGTGACCACATCCCACCACGACCGCCACCTGCCAGGACCCGGCACCCCCTCGCTCCCCCAAGGGCCCAGACCTGGACCTGGCACCTACTAGTATTTGGTTCCTGGCGCCAGGTTTGTCACCTGGTATGCCCTGAGCCGGGTGACCGTGAAGCCAGCCCCGCTGTCCACCACACTCACCAGCTCCCTTCGCCCACGGCAGGGGGGCACCACAAAGCCAGCTGTCACCACTGCGGGGGAAATCGGGGTGAAAGGCCATCAGGCTTCTGGAGGCCCCGAGGAGAAGGGGCAGTTGACAGTGTGGGCCCAGCAGCGGGGTCGGTCGAGGGAAGGCGCGCGTGGGAGCGGGCATGCTGGGGGCGCTCTGGAAAGGGCCCGGGACGCCAGGGACAGGGGAGCAGACCTGTGCTGTCATTGGCTCTCCGGACCATCAGGGTGGCGTTCCCCCCTGTGAGGTGGCAGGGGGGCAGGGCAACCAGCAGGCTCTCCGCTAGCGCCGGGGACAGCAGGCCGGAGAGGCTTGAGATGTTGAAGACTGCTGAGGGGCCAAGAGGAAGTTAGGTGGCCTCGCCACTGTCAGACCTGCCCCCGCCCCTTAGTTGTCTCTCCCACCCTGCGGGCCATTGGCAGAACACGGACCTTTGCTGGGCCGACCGCCAGGTGGCAGGCGTGGGCTGCAGAAGCTGGGTACCCTACAAACCTGCAGATCCAGTGGGCCCAGCCTCACCCCTACCCAGCCTCGGACCCTTCCCAAGGCCGCTCTGCCTCCTGGGCCAGGACAAGGACAGGAGTGTGCACTGGGCTCAGTGGCCGATGGCTTCAATGACCGATGACCAGTCACTGCCATCGCCAGTCCCCACCCCCGACTGACCAGATGAGCCCCCCTTTCTGAGTCTGGAAGGCACAGGGGGGCACCGCCCCCGTCCAGGCCCAGCCCCCCTCCCCCCAAATGGCAGAGACCTGCAGCCCCCGGGTCCAGGACAACCATCAGGACCAGGGTCAAGGGCAAGGTCCGGCTGGGTAGCAGGGATGCCATAGCTGGGCCGGGAGCTGGAATGGATGCTGGCGGCTGGGGCTTCCGGAGGCAAGTGATGCCTTGCCCCTGGGGCTGCCGGTTTTGTCCTGGGGCGGGAGGGGCTGGACAGGAATCTTGTCCAACCTGCCCCTTGGGCTTTCCAGCCTGGGGGGCGGTGGGGGGGGCAGGCAGGTTTTTCAGGATGGGGAGTGGCCCTCAGGCCCAGAGTAAGCATCTTGGTGGCTTAGTCAGCTGCAGAGGGGGTGGTGGTGGTAACTAAGGTGGGGGGAGGGGTGGAAATCCCCCCTTCTTCTGGGCCCCACACCTGGAAGGGCACCCGTGGTTGTGCTGCCTGTGCGTCTGGAGCCCAGCCTGCGGAGGACGGCTCCCCTCGTCGTGGGAGGTCTCCGAGGGCAGCGAGCTCTGAGGGTGCCCTGGGCTCAGGAAGAGGGGGGCAGCTCCCAGGGCTCCTGGCAGGCCTTGGCTGGGCAAGAATGGAGGCTGGTCGTGGGCCGCAGCGCCAAGGGCTCTAATTCTGGCCCGGCCAGCCTGGGTCAGTGGTTGAGCGTCAACCTATGAACCAGGAGGTCACAGTTCGATTCCCGGTCAGGACACAGGCCCGGGTTGCAGGCTGGATCCCCAGTGGGAGGCATGCAGGAGGCAGCCCATCCATGATTCTCTCATCATTGATGTTTCTATCTCTCTCTCCCTCTCCCTTCCTCTCTGAAATCAATAAAAACATATTCTACAAAAGGGGGCTCTAATTCTGCGTGTTCCCTGCGGCCCAGGTCCTGCTGTGGGAGCGTATAGGGAGGTGGTGCTGGGAGTGTAAGGGGAGGGGAGCAGGGGGCGCCAGGGAAGGCTTCGGAGAGACCAGGGAGGCGGGCATGGACCAGTCCCGCGGGCAGCGTGGACATGGGCAGCCATGCTCGGCAGCCTTTGTTGAACTGTTTGAGAAGAAACAAGACAAAGAGACCTGGTAAGAGAAAATGAAGATGAGTCGCCCCTCTGGCTGCACCCGGACCCCTGAGGATGGAGCCCGCCACTTGGATATGCGCCCTGGCTGGGAATCGAACCGTGACCTTCTGGCTCATAGGTCGATGCTGAGGGGGACAGATCGGGGACGCAGGGCTGCGGGCTCCAACATTTGTCCTCCCGCGTCCTGGACAGTGGGGGGCACTAGCTCCCCTTTGTAGACGTGGAAACTGTGGACACTGTCAGGGGGGACGGGGACACCCACAGAAGCTGATGTGTCTGTCTATCCTCGCCTGAGGGTATGTTGAGAAGGAGAGAAGGAGAAACATCGATGCCAGAGAGAAACATTGAGCAGTTGCCTCCCCTACTCGCCCTGACCAGGGATGGAACCTGCAACCGGGGGATGTGTCCTGACTGGGAATCAAACCGGCAACCTTTTGGTCTGTGGGACAACACCAACCCACGGAGCCGGGCTTTCTGTATGTCCTTCTGCTGCATGAACCCTTCTGTCTCTCCCAGTCCCAGTGCGGGTCAGGGTCCTGGCAGGAAAGCGAGGGACGGTGGGCTGTGCCCTTACTCCTGTGGTGGGGAGGGGAGGGGCACAGCCTGGGGTGCAAGCAAGGGTGACAGTGAAGAGTGGGTCGGGGGACCTCAGACCAGTGCACCTCCAAATTTAATGTGCATCTGCTCCAGGCATTTAAAAAAAAAATATATTTTTATTGATTTCAGAGAGGAAGGGAGAGGGAGGGAGAGAGAAACATCAATGATGAGAGAGAATCATTGGTCGGCTGCCTCCTACACACCCCACACTGGGGATGGAGCCCACAACCCGGGCATGTGCCCTGACTGGGAATCGAACCCTGACCTTCTGGCTCATAGGTCGATGCTCAACCACTGAGCCACACTGGCCGGGCAGGCCTTTTGTTAAAATGCAGGTTCTGGTTCAGTGGGTCTGAGGTGAGGCCTGCAGTCCTGCATTTCTAACGAGCGTCCAGGTGACACTGGTGATGCCGGTCTGAGCGGCTCCCACTCTGAG